GCGATATTATTTTTTTGTCTTTTATTGGATCTTTGTGTTTTATTGGTAGCTGGACTTTGATTATCTAAAAATATTATATTAGATAATACAATACAAGAGAAAAACCAAATAATCTACATTAATACCTGGTTTCTTTTTGCTAGTGGCTTTTTTTGAAGTTTTCAATTCTATTAAAAATTTAAAAATTAGTTGAAATAAATCATTAGTAATTTTAAGAGCTTTTTTTTTTCTTACCAAATTTTCATTTAGTATTAGGCATGTTTGATATAAATTAAACAGTGTTATAGCAATATTTACTTAAGAATATGTTCTTTTTCATATCTTTTTTTTTTCAAGATATATTGTGCTTGGAAGTTTGTTCACCCGTGTTTGGACTTTCTCTTATTTATATTTTTATACATTTGTTAAAAATAAACTATTTATATAATTACAATAATATATGATTAACTATTACCATATGTTAGTGATAAGTCTATTTCATATGCATGAAAATCATATTGTTAGATATATTGGTCATTTAAAAGTCTATTACAGCTTTATCTGATGCAAATCTATTTATAATATAACTATAATAACTCTAAAACCTCATATCATTAAGAATTTACTGATTTTATATTTATTATAAACATGTGAATCTAGTTCACAATCATAGAGTTAATACTTGGATCCAGATTTAATGATTAAATCCAGATTTATTGTTAAATCTAGTACAGTCAGAGATACTTCTATATTTGGTACATCATATGATAGATGATTCTAGAACAAAATCATTACACAGCAAATAATCTAGAAATTTGATCGTCTAATTTCTTATTAATTTTTAAACAATTTCACAGGTTTCACATGATAAATTTACACGAATTGTCTTTATAACATGAAGAATCCTTATGAAACTAGGAAGTTTCAAGCAAGTAGTTTTATAATTAGTTGATACTTTTCTATAATCAACTCGTTTTTGAAGTTTATGAGTATAGCAAAACACAGGCTTTTTTAGGTTGTTGAAATCTATAAAATAGATTAAAACTTGAACTTTTTCTTTTCTTTAACTTTAGGAATTTATCAAAAAACAAATAAACACCTTGATCTTTACTTTGCTAATATCACTGGCCCCCTTTTCTTATTAATATAACCGTCAATATCATACAACCTCAATAATACGTGGTTTTTTGTGAACTCAGAGATATTTTTGAAATTTGTTCTCTTTTCACTACATTATAAAAACTAAAACTAGTATATAATGAATTTATTGCAGTATTGGCTTAATCTTTCTTATATTAATATTCACTAATACTAATTTTTTTTTTTTTGATTAGTGGCAACTAACCAAGCGATAGCTAACCAAGCAGCAACTAACCAAGTGGTAGCTAACCAAGCGGCAATTAACCAAGTAGCTAACCAAGCAGCAACTAACCAAGTGGTTGCTAACCAAGCAGAAAATAATGAATAATTACGAGCACAAGACCTACCATGTGTCTTTGCTACTTTTTTTAAAAAATATAAAAGTCTTGGTTTATTAGAATATGAAATGAAGGAATCACAAACTATATGGCATGCAGATAGTAAAAAACCAAAGAGTCATCTTCAATTGTACCATACCTTTTTTTCTAAATTGGTTCAAATACAAATGCATTTAAAAGATTTTTCTTTATGCAAAAAGCATTATAATCAATTAATTGCATCTGATTTTTTGTATCAAATTCTTTTAAGTTCAAATTTGTCTAATAATTTGCCTAATAATTTGCCTAGTAATTTGCCTAGTAATTTGCCTAGTAATTTGCCTAGTAATTTGTCTAATAATCAATGTAGTAATCGAAAAAGAAAAATAAATAATGTTTCCAATAATGAATTTGTTGAAAAGCAGGCTCATATGGAGCATCTTAAACAGAAGCTGAAATAAATATATATAATAACATACAAGCTATTAATGAGGTTGCCATGCAAGCTAGCAATGAAACCTATGAGATTGGTGTTCAAGTATCTGATAATATGTTGCATGCTCTTGAAACCCACATTAATTTACTTTAATTTCAGTTAAATTCGAGAGTAATTGAGATACAAGAACTCAAAAAACAATTAGAATATGCATACGACTATATAATAGAAAGTTGGGAACGTGTTCAAGAAATCAATAAAATAAATAAAAGTTAACTAAGCAAAATAATATGTTAAAATATAAATAGGAAAACTGGTATAGTAACCAAAAAAAGAATTAATTCTATAATTCAAATTGCCAACCAAGAACGTCAAAGCATTTATAAAGATATAGAGTCATTAATTTTAAATAGGTAACAGTTTTCACTTAATAATTTATTAAACTTTGCACCTGACAATTTGTTATCTAATCATAACCCAGTTCTCGTAAATTTTATTAATACTCTTATGCATAATAATAATAATAGTCATAATATTTATACTTCGAATAAAAAAATTTTTAAAAAAATAGTTGCTGTTGATGCTATATATGGATTGAAACGTAAAAACTATGTATCGGAAATAAATCTAGCCATAACCAGAACCAATATTCAATCACACAATTTAAAACAATTATTGCCATTAATAACAATATAATTAGTTTCAGAAGATATACAGCATTCGTAAATTGGCTGGAATCATTAGCAATCGAAGTTGAACCTTTACCTAAAGGACTCTTGTTTTTAGCCTTTGATAATGAGCAATGCGGTCAATATAATTATCTTGATCGTCATCATAATACAGTTATATACTATACAGTTACAAGTTTCGTCACACTCAATATGAATAAAAATAATTGTACTCAATTTACAATTGCTCTCTGGCTTTGTGATTCACTAAATGATAAACAGTATGATAAGCTATATTATGTTGCACCTGAAATGTAAGCAGAATACGAATTAGAATTAAAAATAAACTTATCTTCAATTTTAAAGAAGCTTGTTGCTGAAAAAAATAAAAAAATCAATACGATTGACCTAACTATCAAAAATCAAAAAGGCACCGGGAGTCAATCTAAATGGTGTAAAAAATATAATACAACTAATATTGATAATAAAAAATGTACTTGCCCTAAATGTAATGAAAAACTAGACACATTGGCTGTTTTACAAGCAGAATCTGCTAACAAGATTACCCAGATTAATATAGCCTTGCAATCAAAATCCCTTGTAATAAAGCTTTATACATTTGCTCATAAACAAAACAGTCTCAATTTTGATTGTATTAGTATTACATAGCAGTCAAACTCTGAGCATGATGTTGTTATTCCTGAAATGTATGTACTAGACCCATTAGAATTAATCCCTAACTCAGTAGATAATGTCAAAAAAGTTCTAGAATACATACAAAACATCACAGAAATAAACCGAGGAGAGCGAAAATGGCTACCCGTTACTTGCGATGGTGTTCTTTATACTCTAGCTCAAAAGATTAAAAAAGTTTTTCCGTGGCTCATATTGATTCCCAGCACCCTGCACGAAGAAATGAATATGCTCAAGGCAATTGTAGAGTTAAATTGGTACTATCATCTTTTTATTATTAAAGTATATAAACTATACTCTTTAACATAAAAATTACTATTATACACATCATCCTGGCTATATCGATATCTGGATATACTGATATTTTTTTAAACTTTTGAGCCTCTTGATTTTTTTGAGGTGTCGACATAACCAGAGTGATATGTATTACAATTTTACCTTTGTTAACTTATTTTTTTTAGGATGATTGATATCAAACAATTCACTTCTCTTTAAGGATATAGAACTGAAAACCAGCTTGCATTTTTTAAAAAGTGTGCCAATTATCACAAATCATGGAACTCTATTTGTAATATTTACCAACATGCCGTCACATGTGAATTATTATGGCTATACATAGCTGCGACAGAAAATCCCTCAGTTGATGATTATCTAGATTGGGCAAGAAAACAAAATGATCACATATATAAATTAAAATTTGAACAAGTAAGGTTTTTAATAAAATATCAAATATATTTAAAACTTTTGACTAATAATTATTATAGACATTTACTTATCCCCAGGCAGTCATTAATTTTCGCATGGGAATTAGAAACAATCGACCGTTGTTGGTAAGTGCTGCTCGATGCATATTTGCTCTAATATGGTCTGGTCATAGGCACCCTATGTATCGGTTAATCAAAATAACATATGAAGAACAATTAATGCGATTAAATCCTGAGATTAAACAGCATATAGAGTTAAATTCTGTTATTTCATGATCAGGATATAGCAATCAACATCAAGGCCTTGACACTATTCTTGAGGAGATTAATAAATATTTAAAGGCCTTAATTCCCCCTGTATCTTCACAAAAACATTGGAGAATAGCCGTGTGTAATTGTATGAAGTTTATAAAGGTTAATAAAGTTACATTTGCATTAAATAAAAAATGATTACATTTGTACTTACTTTTTGATACTAATTAGCTATGTCACAAAATATTTAATATTATCAGGCATGCAAATAATGAATCATCAGGAGGCCGGATACGTCTAGATTATATATTAGAATCACAGAGATTTTAGGTCCATTTGCATAAAACTGGGTTTTTGAATCCTCAAGATGATAATCACACTTTTAAGAGCCTTGGAGGAGAACACCTATTTAGCGAACAACTGAAAGATTTCAGTAATTTAGCATGCGAAAGATGAATAATATTGATTAATAAGACTTTTAGAGGCAGCAAGTCAAATTCTTCACCTCAACCAATACCTATTACTGCTCAGAAAGAAGCAGCAGCCATAGATAAAAAAAAATATGATAAAAAAAGAGCTTTTAGCAATTATTAATTCATTGCTAAATTCTGTTAATATTTTAAATCATCCAAACTATCGTGGGTTACAGCAAAAAACTAATGCCGAGTTGATAAAAATTTTGCAAAGTATTAGAGATCTGCATAATGATCAAAATAGACTTGAAAACAAGATAGAATTAGAAAATTAAAATAAATAAATAATCAATAACCCAAAATTATATTAATAAATATAAAAGATTTGAATTGTAGTATTAATCACATGAAGTTCTAAAAAAAAAAAAATAGCTTTAATCATGTAACTTACTGTTGGTAAATTTTTGAGATCAAAAGCCTTCTTAAGTACAGGAATTAGATAACGTTTATAGGCATTTCATACAAATTACGGCTTAACATGGCTAACTAAAAATCTTTTTGTGTGGCCGTCACAATCCAGTAGAAAATTTTTCAGGTTTAAGATTCCCATCTTGCTAGTGTTGTTAATTGGATATATAAACTGTCGAGTTCAGACCAATTGAGTTTAAGATTAAAGCTAAATACAGAAATATACTTAAGATTAGGGCTACACAAAATATTGTAACGGATTAAAATGAAATCAGATTATTGTTATAATGAAATATTGTACCATGTAAAAAATAGACAAGCTACTAAAAAATAAAAATTTTTATAGTGCATTTTTTTAGAGTTAAGGGTTAGGGTTAGAGGTTAGTATTATGGTAGAGTTAATAATAAACAAGTATAAGTGGAGTTTAGAGAGTTTAATAGAAGCTCTTATTGCATTTAATCCGGTTTCATTATGATTCGTGACAAATATTTAACAATACTGCAATACTTACATCTTATGCTTTTTGCATTTATATTAAAATCATTTAGCCAATCAGATTTTAGTCTGATCTGTCAATTCTAGAAAATTGTTGTACTATCATACAATGCAGATCATTGCAAGATTTGGAAATACCATATATGAAAATATCACCAACTGTTATAACAATGATATCTGTATTGTCCAAACATTTCTGAACCAGATTCTGAGTGGACAGAGATATATATATTTAAATCTGGATCTTATAATTAAATTTGGATTTAACAATAAATCTGGATTTAACAATTAAATCCAGATTTAATTATTAAATCTGGGTCCAAGTATTAACT